CGTGTGATCAAGACAGGAAAGGACGTCAGGGTTTGATAGAGCCCTTGTCTTCCCAGTGGATCATGGGGATTAAGGTTACTGAAGCGTTAACTTAAATTTCAGACAGTGTTACTAAGACACTTTCCATTCTTTTTGAGTTTTGATTGTGTTCTTCATTAAAACTATAAAATTATTCATTAAAACTGTAAAATTATTTTTTACCACTGAAAATATATCCTGATTCTGTATGGCTGAGATACTGGCAAGTGGATATAATTCAGCACATTTTAAGGGAATCTTTATTTCATAACTTTATCCAGAAGCTATTTTAAGTAATACCTTTCTCTGTTAGATGGAGAAGCAAAGCCCTGTATCTAAGAGCTTCTGAATATGAGGTTTCAATATAAAAATGAAAATCTTATTTCAAAATTTGGGAAGCTGCAGTTCGCTGCTAGAGTTTTTTGTTTTGTTGTATCAAGGTAAAACAGCAATATAAAGAAGTCGAACTAAGAAAAAGGGAGTCTTTCACTCATCCAGTGTAGCTTTTATCGTGTTGTTTGATCTGAGGATATCTGTTACCAGATCAGGAACAGTATCAGCATTTGTTCAAAATTATGTGATAGGTGGGGGCTTGTGATTGCGTCAACTTACCTACCTTTATCCCCGTGGACTGGGAGAAGTTCAAGTAGCACAGTTTTGTAGCGAAGCCCTGAGCTGTGTGTGCTAGCTGTGACTGTCATATGATACAGATTTTTTTTGTCTGGTAGTTGAATGAGTTGAACTGATGGGAACGGAGAGTGAAGGAGAAATTTTAGTTTAAGGAGAGTTTAGAATTTACAGGCTTATTTAGCACATTTATGTTTTTCTTGGACTAAATGGGCTTTCCTCAAACTGTTGTTTTTTAGAACAAGCTACTGCAATATCTACTAGCGATATTGAGACTTGAAATGTATCTTTCTTCCATCCACACAGCGACTACTTGTGTGCTTGGTTCCATCTGGAAAGGATATAATTGAATCCTTGTTTGGCTCCTTTAATTATCTCTTTGCAAAGTCCTTGGCTGGGAATTTTGCCACTTACAGTGCAAATATTCAAACTTAAGAGCATAAACTGCGCTTTCAAAGAGCATTTTTGTAAACCTTTTATCATTTGGTGGTTTTTCAAAAGCGAACATGAGAACTTCTCAATGAACATGTTTTAATTTTTTCAATCCTCAGAGAAGATTTTGTTTTCTTGCAGGTTGGCTGTAGTTGCTAATTAACTTTGTTAATTAATCATGCTGTAGGGATGAAACATGCTTCATTAAAAATAAATAAAACTGTATAACAACAAAGTAATGCTACTGATTTTGCCTATTTAAAAGCAAAGATTAAAAAACCAAGATTAACTTTGAAGCTGCATGTCAAATGTTCTTTGCATTTGAAACATCTGAAAGGCTAAAGCAGCTAAAAGCTTATTATTTTTGCAGCTCAGTCATAATAAAATGCTTATCCAATTGTAACACTGTGTTAAAAAATGGGGGCTGAGAATAGTCGCTGAAGGTGCTGTCTTAATCAGAACTGCCTGAGATGGTGGGTAGTAACCAACGGGTTTATGTGGTCGTGCTTAGACATGACGGTCCTTGTTCTCTCTTGTCATGTATCTTGTATGAAAACTTCCAACACTGCAAATTGGTGTTAAATGCTGTTGGCTCCTAACAGGATTCTGACCACATTATACCAGCGTATGTTTGAACAGAGGTGGTGGGAAATGGCTCACTGCGGGCGATGGGCCAAGCGCATCACAAATGAAGCTCCTTGGAGTGATCTCAGGGATGACTGTGGTCCAGAGGCACGCTGAGCCTCTGCCGCGTGTCCTGCCTAGATGAAGGTAGCCATCCTCGTAGGTCTGGCTGCGAGTGCACAGCTCCTTCGCCTGGGGAATGCAGGCGGGAGGGAGAAGATGCTCTGGGACCTATTTGAAGTGGGAGCACAGAGTTTGCTTGCCTCAAAGCTGACTTATTTTTAGACACAGCTGGAACAGATGGCTCTTCTGTATCCACTATTGCAGTGTTTTTCCTCATTCATGATAGTCAGGTTTCTTTTTCATTTTCTTCTCTTGAAAAGTGGTCTGTTCCTAATAGCAGCAATGTTATAAACACAGTATGAGAATGCCAGTCTTTGCTCTCCTTTGCTGGGAAAATTGTTAAGGAAGCCCTTTCTGATCCTCAGCCAGGATCCTCACCCAGAGAGGGAAGAATTAGGAGGAGACCTCTTTGCGGATGGAGCTCGAATGGAATTTACTCTGATAAAATTCCAGGATTCCAGAAATGTGGAACTGATTCCATGTTGGAGGTAACATGGAGAGAGGAAAGTAGGAGTATTCCTCATGTAGGAGGGATAACTAAATAAATCTCTGCAGACCACTGGCAGGAAGTGTATGGAGGAGTGATTTGTGGGGGTTTTTGTTTGTTTATCCCCCCACCCGTGCATCTTTTCTGATAAAATATCTTTAGGCATTTGTTTTGCAATTAAAAAGTCAAAACCCCTCAAAGGGTATACTCGCTTTTTCCGCTAAAACATATCAGGGCGCTGAAGCGGTGCAAAAATGCAACGGGCTATTTCCAGCAGATGAACTAAATCCTTAAAATAGAATTAACCAATTTTGTAATTTGCCTGTGATCATATCTGAGCAAGGAAGAGGGAGGGCGGAATGTGTCTGTTAGAAGCCGTTTTTAGGATAGTTGCGTTAAGGCTATCGGTGCTGTACTAATGCCACTTCTCAATTTCCAGTAATTTTTCAGATGCACAAAAGAGGATCTTGATACCATGCTGGAGTAACACAAATGCAACTTCCACTGGGCTGTGGCTGTATCTTTAGGTTTTGCCAATATTCAGTGATTTCAACATCATATACATTTACAAATCAGAATATTAGCAATGCCTGGTATTAATCTGATAACCGTGCTTGCAGGGTGCCACCAGCCAGCTGTGCAGGGAGTGCTTTGGGGGGGGG